TGGGCCAAGTTTTTTTAAGTAGGCGTTACTCCTCCATCACTCACCCTTTGTTCTGGCTTGTGACAGGCAGAGCCTGGCTTCCCAAACATTGGGCCCAGGATGGCGGGTTTTGCTTATAAGGAGTGTTGGAAGAAAACGTAAAGGTCTTATAATTCCTAATTTTCACAGGCATACCAAATCTTTCTCCAACCCAACAAGATATTTATTCCCACTCCTTCAGTTTGTCATCTAGAACATGCAGCATAGTATCCCACTCTACTAAGCCAGTTCTTCTGGACGGAATTGATCTCATCTTGCCATTTCAGATGCCAGGACCATGGAAGCACATGGATGCTGTGAATACTCCAGAGGCACAGTTGTTTCTATCAAATACTAGACTGATGTTCCCCTTCAGCAAGACCAAGCAGGGAGGTAGTGAGGGATACTCTGCTCAGTGGGTGAGTGATTCCAATATTTCTATGTTCCCTGGGAATGGGATCTGAAGTCTTCCTTTTGTATACCCGTCAATTTATCTTATAAATGATGGAGGTAATTCTTTACGATAGTGTTTCTCAATCTTGGCCATTTTAAGATGCTAGCTGGGGAATTCTGGGAGTTGAAATCCAAGCACTTTAAAGCAGCCAAAGTTGAGAAATGCTGCTTTAAGGGCTTTGCAAATGATTCAGCAAAACAAGAATGGATCTCTTTTTGAATAGACTGAGAATATGACTGCTTTTCATCAGTCAGATTGTGATATAGATGTGATGTAAAGATAACCTTGATTACAAGAAAGAGCACAACAACCAGAGGTGGGTTGCTGCCAGTTCAGACCGGTTTGGCTAAACCAGTAGTGGCGGTGGCGGAAGGCTCCACCCACCCGCCCGGACACTTCTGTGCATGTGCAGAAGTGTTGCTTATGTGCGTGAACGTGCATGTGAGTATGAGCGAACCAGTTGTAAACCGGTTAGCAACCCATCACTGACAACAACCCAATATTGGAAGAGGAATGGGTAGCTGGATAAGTCTTGCGTGTGGCCAGACTCTGTGATTGAGATAAATTGAACCTTTACTTTTAAAGAGCATTTGTCTTTGTGGGGTATTGGTTTTCTTCCAGCATTAGAAAGGCATGGCCACCTGTGGCTTTGTTACCTTTTTCCTTCTGTATAGCTTAGGGTGGGCAAAATATGCCAACTTCACACAAAAAGATTTTTCCCTCCTTTATTTGGGGTTGTGTGCTCAGGAACCGAATACAGTAAAGCTTTTGTTCTTCTCAAGAAGAATGTAAAAATAGGAATCTGTTCCGGCTACATTCTGTGTGATTCATTCGGGGAATAACAGTGCTATATTTCACATGGTCTATTCTTGATTAGAACTACCCTTCTGGTGATAAGGATGGGAATTGAAACAAGGTTCTTCATGACAGAAATCTCTGGCAATGAAAAATCCAAGCATGTCAGTCTTTATACAGGCCAAGGATGGGGAAGTTTATGTCAAAAGCAATATTCTATCATCCTTCCTAACCCTTCCCCTTCCCCTTCCCCTTCCCCTTCCTTCCTTCCTTCCTTCCTTCCTTCCTTCCTTCCTTCCTTCCTTCCTTCCTTCCCTGATTTTATATTCTTTTCTTTCTTTGTCTTTTCCTCCTTTTCTTCCCCTTTATTCTTTGTGAAGCATCTTTGTCAGAGGTGGTATTCAGCAGGTTCTGACCAGTTCTGGAGAACCGATAGCGGAAATTTTGAGTTGTTTGGAGAACCAGTAAATACCACCTCAGACTGGCCCTGTCTCCATCTATTCTCTGCCTCCCGAGTCCCAGCTGATCGGGAGGGAATGGGGATTTTTCAGTAACCTTCCCCTGGAGTAGTGTGGGAATGGAGATTTTATAGTATCCTTCTCCTGGACTGGGGAGGAAATAGAGATTTTACAATATCCTTCACCTAGAATGGGGTGGGAATGAAGATTTTACAGTATCCTTCCCTTGCCATACCCACCAAGCCACACTATGCCCACCAAGCCACAGAACTGTAGTAAAAAATTTTGAATCCCACCACTGATCTTTGCACATGACAATCTGAGAGTCTCATTCACTATTTTCTGCTTGTGGCTTCAGGAACTGTATATAAACTACCCTGGATAACTTGCTGGTTTTTTTTTATTGTAGAGAAAGCACAGTTATTCTTAACATGTGACCATAATAGAGCTGGAGAGAATAGTTCATTTTCCCCCTTCTTTTAAGTGCTCCTTGAATGAGGGCCTTGGACCAGGAAAACAATATTCAAAAATAATATTATTGGCACAACACACAATTCTCGATACATACAAACAGGAAGCATAATAATCCATTAGTTTCCTAATGGAAAACTGAGACCAGCACGCACACATCAGCAACACCCCGTTGATGGAAAATTCTATCTCTTCTGATGTTTCTTGTTCTCTTTATCTGTGTTGGGCTGATCTGCTCTGAACTCTTTTCTTGCTGCAGGCTTTTCCGACACAGAAACTACACGGGACTCTTCAGTAGAAGAAGGGGGCTCTGTTGAATTTGGTAGGCAAGATCCTTTTGTAAGGGTAGGTAAGTTAGATGATGGAGTATCTTCTCCTAGCCTGATGCTCTCCAGATATACTGGACCACAGCTTCCATCAAATCCTGAGCTGGATTGAAATCCAGCAATGTAGATTTTTCTTTAAGCAAGAAGAAGCCAAAAATTTGCTTTAGATGGATTGGTTATAGTTAAAACTCTGTGCTCCAAATCATAAAATGTCTTTGATATCCAGCTTTGATGGGGGGCGGGGGAGGGGGCTTAGGCAAGGTTTCCCATTCTCAACCTCAGGTTCCATCTGTAGTATGGGCAAAATATTATTCTGTCTTGGAATAATTGAAAGAATAACGCCAGGATAACATATGCATTTTGAATAGATACTATATAAGCCTGATATTCAAGATGGTTCACAAAGCTCTTGGGAAGATCTTGGATCAATCCCTCTTTCTAAATCTCTCTCCTAACAAGTTTGGTGTGAGAATAACTACGTATCTGATTGAACTTTTTTGTAGAGAAATTTATTCAGCAGTGTCAGTGTAATAAACAAACAAATAATTGAACAATATAAGGTAAGGGTGAAATTCAGCAGGTTCTGACAGGTTCTGGAGAACCGATAGTAGACATTTTGAATAGTTCAGAGAATCAGCAAATACCACTTTGGCTGGCCCCAGAATGGGGTGGGAATGGAGATTTTGCAGTATCCTTCCCCTACCACAACCATCAAGCCATGTCCACAGAACCGGTAGTAAAAACAATTAAATTTTACCAGTGGTATAAGGGCCTTCCTTGACTTACGACCATTTTTATTAATGAAATTTAAAGTTATGACACATTTGGAGAAAGTGATTGAGCCAAGATAAAATTAAATAAATTTTATTTACATTTAATTTTAATCAAAAGACCCAGTAGTTATTATGACTACTGTTCAATTAAATATTGAATCATCATTACAATTTGGAAAGAATTTGAAAGATTTCTGAGGTCTGCGATTTTTGTGGCTTGCAGGCACTTCCCTGAGCCCTTAAATTCTGAATCTTCAATCAAGTAGCCTACATATCCTCCACTGCCAGCATGGATAGTTCTGAGCCAAATAGTTAAACAGCTAGAGTCAACATAAATGACTTTTTTAGAACTTTGCAGGTCTTTGGAACAAGCAATGATGACCTTGTGCATCATTACATTATGTTAATTACTTGAATCAGGTTGATAGCTTTCTATTCCTTTTAGTTGTTGACAGCTGTGGAGTGAGAGCTGTATTCCACAATAAAAAGGGTCACCTGGCACAGGTCTGCCGGGCCACCTTGCCACTTCCTCAACAGCCTGAAGCCCCTCAGCAGCCCTATGGCCAGCAGGCGCAGCCGTGCCCCCAGCAGTTGCGCCCCCAGCAGCCGCGCCCCCAGCAGCCCCGCCGCCAGCAGCGCAGACATGATGACTGCTTTGCTATGGGCAAGGGTCTCCCTGTCACCCCTGCAGAGTTGGGTGGGCCGGCCCTGTCCTCTCACAAGTCATGGCTTGGGTCCTGAGGGGCTGTCCTACAGGCCGACCCTGTCCTCTCACAAGTCATGGCTTGGGTCCTGAGGGGCTGTCCTACAGGCCGAGTCTCCGAGGACTTCCGACCATTCAAGGCCCATCAGCTGGAGCTATCTCTGCACTGTGGTGCCTATTGTGGGGGGCAGGGTCATTATTCCCCCACCCTCCGCCACCAGGCGCCATCTCATCTCCATGGGGACCACCCGGGCATCACACGCATGAAGGCACTTGCCTGGAATTATGTCTGGTAGCCCCACCTGGATGATGAGATAGTGGCCTGGGTGGCTCGGTGCTCCCCGTGCCAGGTGTCCCGCCCTTCTCTCCCTGCTGCCTCCCCCCGGGAGGGGGAGATGCCCAGGGGACCCTGGTCCCGCCTGCACCTTGTGGGCCCCTTCCGTGGCCAGGTGTTCCTGGTTGTCGTGGATGCGTACTCTCGCTGGGTGGAACTCATCGTGATGTTGTCCACCACAGCTGAGAGTACGGTGCGGGCGTTGCAGTTGCATGTCCGACAATGGCCCACAATTCTCATCCACGACCCCAGCAATGGCCAGGCGGTGTGGGCGGTTCGATCGGCCAACGAGGCTTTGGGCCGGATGGACCGAGGTGACTGGCCGGCAAGGGTGGCTGCTTACCTGTTGGGTCAGCATTCCACCCCTTACCCTATTACACAGAAGAGCCCCGCTGAGCTGCTGATGGGCTGGCGCCTGCAGACTATCCTAGATAGGCTGCACCCTCTCTATTCTGGGGAACAGCCTGGCAATCTGGGGGCCCTGCCCTGCACTTTCAGGGAGTGGCACCTCGTTTGGGCCAAGAGTTACTCCGGGGATCTTAGGTGGGTGTCTGCCACTGTCATCACAATAATTGGTCCCTGTTCTTACAGGGTCCACCTACCAGATGGCACAGAGTGGCGGCACCATGTGGATCAACTAAGGCGCCGCCTACCACCTGAGGCCTCCACTCAAACCAGCCCGTCGAGCCCAGCCACCGTCGCCCAGCAACCGGTCTCCAGCATTCGGCAGCATTCGGCCTCGATTCTATGTGAGGCCTTCCCCCAGTCAGGCCTCTCCTATCCTGTTACCGCCTGCCGGCAACCGTTTGTTCCACTGCCTCCTTCTGGTCTCGCACTCCCTGGGTTACCCCATCCAGAGGCCTTCCCCCAGTCAGGCCTCCCCTGTTCAGACGCCGCCTACTGGCAGTTGTTCTCAATCCCGCCCCCATCGGCTGCGCCCCCTCGCCCCGGCCTACCTGTGTCTCTGGTTCCACCCTCTGATGCAGGCCCTGGTGATGTCACCCGGAGCTACACTCCCTTTGGGGAGGAGCTGCAACAGGGACGTCTTACCTCTCCAGCTCCGCCTCCTGAACTGAGGTGTTCTGGGCGTGTCCACTGCCGGACCAGCTACTTTTGCAAGTACGCATGCCCGACATTTCTGCATGTGCCCTCGCTAGGGGGGGGGGAAGAAGTGTTTAGTCCTCACGCTTATGATTGACAGCCAGCAACAGCCAAGCTGTGCCTGATTGGCTAAGGCGCGACTGACTGAGCGCGGGCTGTCAGAAGCATGCCTATTGGTCGCCCTGCTTGACAGCTCCGTATAAATAGCTGTCAAGCAGGGCGAGGTGCTGAATCGCTACTTACTTGTTATCGTTGCTTCTCTGTTTGGAATAAAGTTGTTAAACTAACCTCAGGCGCCTCCTGTCTCGTCAATCCCTTGGTCTACTTCAGACTCACCTTCCCGTTCATCAGCAGCAGCCCAGGATCTGAAGAATAGCATCCACTGATTCTTCCCCTCTTTTAATTGAGATGCCATTTTGGATCCCATATTAAAATGGCTCAGGAATAACCAAAGATTTGAGGGAATATTTGTAGACCTTTACATTGACTTGGAAAAAGTATATTTGAGCATTTATATATCATTGCGGGAAATGATTCACATCATCGAGAAGTAGTTTGTCAGCATGTTTTGATTCGCTGAAGATTTGTTTTGAAAATTCAGATTGAGTCAAATCCCCACAGAAACTCTGAATTATTCAGCCAACCCTGCTGTTTTCTGTCCTGGACAGGATGAATGGTGAACTAGCAAGAGGTCTGCATAGGTTGAATTTGCCTTCACTTCATGAAATATGGAGGTGGTTGCGAAGGAGGATCTCTTTTCAAAAAGAAGGAATAAAGCTTTAAGGTGTTACAGATGGTTGTTCCGGCCAACCGAAAGGATTATTACGTTTACTTTTCTGAAAATGTTTAAGTGTGCTGCTTTAAATAATTTCAAAATTCTGATTTGTGTCAATGATTTTAGGGATCTGGGGCTAGTCGTGATTTCAAATTAATTTTTTTTTAAATGTAAGGCTTTAAAATGTTTTTTGTACCTGGGACTGAAGACAGATTAATATTTACAGCTGCAACACCACTGTGCATATTTGTTCAGTTGAAGCTAATATCCTTTTTTCCGAGAAAACCGTCCTGCAGCTTTGAAGGAGTTGCTAAGTGCTCAACACTGATTAGTAAGTACTCACCCCCAAACTTTCTAAAGCCTTTCATCACTGTTTACTTTATAAACGATCAACAACAAAATGTTGTGGTTTCTTTTGCCCTCAGCCTTAAGATTGCATGAAAGAATAAGAAACAATGTAAGTCTGGCATCCCAGAATTGAGATCAAAGGCTAGAACTTTAATAAATGTTATTAGTTGCACTGCATTATCTGAAGTTTGTCCAGATTGCTAGAGAACATTGCATTGTGCTGGGGTTTAGACTGCATGGATTGTAGTCAGTGTGGAAAGAAAGGCATTGTTCCTAAATCTAAGGGCAAACATGGAAATCACAAAAATAATTGTTGAACACCCGTTACCGGAGACAATTTTGTGACCTTTCTTTATACCCCTCTACAATGTACACGCAAGTTAATTTATACCTTTCTACAGTCTAGATCCAATCTAGCATTAATTTTCTTCAAAATTAACCCAGATACATTTAATAACAAAACCAAGTTGTTTTTTCAAAAATAACTTTATCTCATTGGGCCAGCCTCAAGGTTCACATTCAGTAGCTATAGAGCAGGGGTGTCAAATTCGATTTCATTGAGGGCTGGATCAGCATTATGGTTGTCCTCCAGGGATCAAATGGAGGGGCATGGCCAGGGTGGCTGCGGCTGACTGAGCATGACCCAGGGGCATGGCCAGTGTGTTGTCACTCACGTGGGTGGTGCCTATGGGGGCCAGGCAGAGTTCGGAAGGGAATCCAGGTATCTCCAGTGAGTGGGGCGGGGGCAGTGGGTGAGAGGCTCATCCTGTGGGATGAGGAGAGATGAAGCAGGGTGTGGGGCAGCTACAGCCAGAAACTGTCAGACCCCACGCACTTGAAGCCCCTTGTGCTTGGGGGAGGGAATGGTTTCCAGTGCACACTGTGGCTCTGGAACCCATGGGCTGGCTGTCCAAGCAGCAGGGAAAGGCAGGGAGAAGCATGTGATGCTGGACGCACTTATTACATCCCACTGTCTGTTTT